GAACCCTCAGCGGGAGTGCCGCCGCGCTCCCAAGCGGTGCACTGTAGCAGTGCGCCACCGGGCCGGCCCCTTTTAGTCTCTTTTAATTTTTGAACTATGTTAATACACTATTTAATAAATTTTTGTTGCTTAAACTTTAAAGAGGTAGACAGACATAAACAGGAGCAATTAAAAAATAGCAATTCAGGGATAATAAAAACAGGAGCCCCAAGGGTGGGTGTTGCAGGGTTTTCAGTGATCTTCTGCACACAAGCACCCTTCACTTTGGCCTGGGATGCTTGTCCCTGTTTCCTGTGGCGGCTGCCTGGGCTCCAGAAGTCAGGTGGTGTCAGTCCATCCACCTGCCAAGGGGAATGGTGTCCTGGGGGCTGATCACGAGGCACCTCCTTGTCCTCTTCCTGATTTTTGCCTTCTGAGTCAACTGCCGACTCTTTGAAAGAAATGACTGTTTCTCAACCATTTTAGTATTTCCTTCAATGCCTAGGATCAGCATACGGCGGCTTACTCAGAGATCTTTGCGTGGTATCTGTGTCTTGGGTTTGTCTGGGCAGGAGTGGGGAGTAGGTTGGGATTTGGGCTTTTGTTTTCAAATTCTTTGTGCCTCAAATTTCTTAGACCACTGAAAAGTTATAGTAGCTATTTTTCAAGTGTTTTAACACCTAAAAATGTAAACACATGGAAGGGACTGAACTATTACTATATTCATTACCAATGCTTTAGCAATGTGATGTCTTGTAGAGTCAGTATTCATGCAGTGAGACCAACCATTTAGTCACTCGTTTTTTAAATCATCTAGCATCTGAACTGTGCCCTTGCTGCTGCATAAGAAATGATACCGAAAGGGTGATGGCTTCCTGATTTGTCCTAGTAATGAGGAGGGGTGTGTGTCAACATGTGCCCTGTTTTTAGGGGATGTCATTTATCAGTTGGGAGTGATGTGAGACTGCCTAGTCATGGAGATCTGATCAAAGTGGTTAAACACAGGGAAGTTTATTTTTCTCACAAAAAGTTCAGGGCTAGTGGGCACTGGGATTGGTTGTGTGGCTCAAGGATGTCAGAGCTCAGGTCTATGATTCTTTAGGCCTTTCCCTCATGGTCCCAAGATGACTGCTACATCTGTAGCCATCACATGTGCATTCCAGGCAGGAAGGAGGAGGAAGCTGGAGGGCATGCCTTCCGGCTGGTTAGTCCACTTTAAAATCTACTCATTACTCATTGTCCATCCTTAGAAATAAAGGAGGCTGGAAAATGAAGTTGTGCTTTTTTTGGTTTTTGTTTGTTTTAGCTCGGCCCATTGTCATCCCAATAGCAGAGTGGTTCTATAAGAGAAGAAGAGGCATAGAGAGAGACAGATGCTGCCACAAACATACAATCCAGATATCAAGAAAGCCCTCATTTCTTTTTCGTACACTTTTTTTTTCTTTCGTTTGGTCTGCACAGGCCATCGGCAATGCTAAAACCACTTGCAATGACAACAGCAGCCGTTTTGGAAAGTACATTCAGATTGGCTTTGACAAAAGGTACCACATCATTGGGGCCAACATGAGGACCTACCTGTTGGAAAAGTCCAGAGTGGTCTTTCAGGTGAGTGGTAGGACTTGGGTCCTTTCGTGTGTTGATTGAATCCACAAACATGTACTGAGTGCCTGTTGTGTGTTAGCCCTGTGCTAAACACCAAAGATACAGGAAAGAACAAGACTGTCCTTTTCCTTGTGGACTTTAAAGCCTTATGATCGGGGGTGTCATAGATAGTCTGTGGGTTTCAGATTTCATGGGAACCTTCTTATTTGGTAGGTTAAAAATAAAATTATACTCTGCCACCTACTTAGTTTTCTTTTCAAATAAGTGGAGTTCCCACTTCTTACCTGCCCAAGTACTCTTTCCCTCTTCATGACCCTTTTCCTCCTCCACCTGCCTTTTTTTGGGTGGGGTGGGGGTGGAGGGAGGTCCTATACAGAGTCCTCCAGCTCTCTGTTGACCTCCCATCACTGCAGTGAGGGGACGGTGCATGTCCTGGGTTGAGTCTGCAGCACACTTTTCTCCTGGGTTAAGTGGCTCCCAGTCCTGTTTTGGCTGCCTTCAAAGGAGGCACAGAATCACCTCAGCTGTATGTTTCTTGGCGACGTCTCCATGCTGATGCTTAGCAAACATGTAGTGAATTTTTTAACTAGCTCCCCACCCTTCCTCCCTTTTGCTCAGGTGTTCTCTGTACCTCACAAGTTGGCTTCACAACCCCATGTCTTTGATTTCACTGCAGCAAAGGGGAGCAGCCTGGGGGGTGGGGTGCAGGTCCGATGTGCTGCTTGGGCCTCCAGAATCCCCAACACCACTCAGCCAGTTTAAGGCCAGTCTAGATTCAAGTGTCCGTGAGAAGACCTGTCTCACTTGTGGCCCTTTCCTGACTGCCCAGCCTGACATGATGGACGAGTGTAGCTTTCACTTAGCTCCAAGCCTCCCAGAGCAGAAAAGCAGCTTGCAGAAGGGAAATTCTAGTCCGCAGAACATTAGCCAAGCAGCGTGGAAATCTGAATATGTACTTGTTGACTGACCCACCATCTGTGGAACAGCAATGACATTCTCTCTAGAAGGAAAGAGAACACATGCTTTTGCATATGTCAAGACATAAAAGTCCTCAGATTGGAAGAAGGCCCTGTAATAGCGAATGGAAAATTGGGAGGTGGAAATGGAAGGAGACAGAGGGTGGAGGAAACATCGGGAGGAGCGGCGGGCTCAGCCCCCACAATCTGGCGCACCTGCTATTAGAATGGGTGAGGGCCCATATGGGGGGGGTCACGGCCCTAAAACTGCTTCACTTTTTCCTCTTCCAGGCAGAAGATGAGAGGAATTACCACATCTTTTATCAGCTCTGTGCTGCTGCCAGTCTTCCAGAATTTAAAGAGCTTGCGCTAAGTAAGTGAGTGGGTGCATCCCCGTCCCCTGGGGCAGGCTGCTGCTGCAGAGAGGGGACAGTGGGGGGTTCTTTGAGGAGGAAGGGGGCTCTGCTCAAAGCCTTCTGTCATGGGTTCTTATCTTGGCTCTGTCTCTAATGTGGCCAAGTCCCTTAGGCCTCTGTGGACTTTGCTGCCCCACTAGTAAAGTAGGGTTAATTAATTGTACACAGGTCGCCTGCCATGGGAAGTGTGTAGGAGGATGAGAGGCAGGGGTGGAAAAGTGTTTTGCAAGGCATGAAGGACTTTGCATGCAGTATTGTTTTGAAAGATATGTTTCCACTTTCAGCATCATAAGAAATGTGTCCCAACAATAAGGATCTAGAGATTTAGCTAATGCTCATCACTTAATCATGTGTTAAGTCATATTTAAGGATCGAGACAAAACAAGAAAAGGGGAGTGGGGAATGAGGATAAATCAGGGATGAAGTGGGGATGGCTTTAGAGCCATATTGATGAAGCACGGGCATCACCACAGAGGATGAGACAGGGCTCAGAAAGTGGAACTCAGGGCTGTCGGGCTGTCTGATCTCCCCTGAAAGGTGTGGAAGCTTCTAGCACACCCATGCTGGAGCAATGGAGGGAGGGAGGAGGGGCAACCAAAAGTGCCTCTCGACTGGAGCCAGTAGATGGGTCACCTTGCTGTGCCCATCAGATGGGTGGGAACATCCTGGGTCCCCACCAATGCCGAGAGCAAGTTTCTGTTGCTTTAAGGCCTTGACGTGGAGCCAGTAGAGGTAGGCAACAGGCTTAGTTCTTGATCTCATTCCCTATAGCACCTCTCCTTGGGCTTGGAGACTTTTCCCCCTTCTCTGTGTGGGGCTTTGCTGTGGAGGGTGGACTGATGCCCACTTCTGAGTCTTCAGAGCCCACCGGTGTGATCAGGGCCAGCCTGGGGCTGAGCAGCACCCTGTCCTCGGCCTGCTGTCTGACTTTTGGAGCATGTGGGGAGGTCCAGTACTAGCAGAGGGTACGAAGAGCTGAGTGTCTAGACAGAGGTTGATTGTTGGTCTTTGTGCAGCTGTGAGAGAAACAGATCTCTGAGGCTTTGCTGTACCTAATACAAATCCTACCCATCCTAAGGGTCCAGCGAGCCAGCAGCTCGAAGTGAGTATTTAGACCTACCTCACTTGCTTCTTTCTTTTCTTCACTTAAAACATGCTGTTCAAATGCACAGAAGTCTCTGCAAGACCCCTTGGCCAGCTTGAATTTTGTACATTTGTCTGGGAATAGAGGGCACAGCTGGGCATTGTCTTCCCCCATCTTCCTCTGCCTATTGCTGGTGGTTGATTGCGTTTAAAATGGTCTCAGGAGGGATTTTTTTTTTTTTTTAAAGCCAAATCAGTAATTTGTGAGAGTGTGAATAAGTGATGGTAAAACCATACAGGTGTAAGGGGCCCATTTTCCCTTTAACACAACCTTCACATGGTAAGGAATAGAGCCCCTCCTTTTTCACTGGCACAGGTATATTGATACAGTTGTATAAGCATCCTCTGGCGTTATGTAGGTGAGAGTATAGCCTCAAGTGAGGTGCGAGCCTATGACCTTGTCCTTGATGGTCAGGTGCTCTGATCATTGGGTTTATACCCCCTCTGTGTTCTGTTCATTGCCTGATCCAATGTCTGCCTGACCCAATGGTGAGCCAGTTGATAGGAGGCTTTGTGGTATATTTCTCCTTTGAAATTCTTGGTACAGGGAGACCCAGACTGGAGGCGGAGATAAGTTGCTCTGGGATGGGATGGTCAGTGCTGGCCTCATGGGCCTGAAAGGAGAGTTGAGCTCTAGGCAGGCCACACAGGTGGGGAAGGCTGCTCCTGTCTAGATGTCTCTTATTAAGAGGGTCTGGAGAGTGATAATGACAGAGGTGATTGCAGACCTAAAGCAGATGAAAGGAGATGATGATTTTGAGTGGGTTCAGATCATTCAGCAGAGAAGGCTGTTACTGACCCAGGTGTCCCTGCAGTGATAAGCCTCAGTCTGAAGAAGTTACCCAGCTAGAGCTGAGTTTGGGAACTGGAAGCAGAGAAGGTGGGTAGTCTGCCTAACTCAGAACATTATGCAGAAGTGCTCAGGTTGTGTGGTCAGACTGGGATTATAGGCCGAATTCCTGTCACCTCATGGCTGGGCCTAGCAGTGTGTGTTTAGCAGGCTGGAGGAATGGGCAAAATTCAGTGTGGCTTGGAGTGTGGGATGCAAAGTGAGAAATGGGAGAGACAAGGAGGGGGAGGTAGGCAGAGACCACTGAGGGCATGGGTAAAACTGATGAGTGACAACATGGAAACTGGCACGTCTGTAACACAGAGGTAGGAAGGAAGGAACAAGCCATGAGTCTGGAGTGGGAGGAGGTGGCCACTTCACAAAGGGCCCAGGAGGCTGTTTTAGGGAGTTGACCTCTGCCTTGAGGGCAGTGGGACCTCTACAAGGGCTTTCTTTCATCAGGGAAGTGGTGTGATCAGTGACCAGCATCTTGAAGGTGAATTTGAAGGGACAGAAGCACAAGCAGGGAGACTGGTTCAGAGTCTTTTGCAACAGCCCCCAGACAACAGATGCTGAAGGTCAGACCCAGGGACAGTGGCAGTCAGGATAGAGAAAGGAAAGAGACTCCAGAATTCTTAGGAGATCACACTGGCAGGACGGGTGGTGGAGGACTAGGAGTTGCCATGAAACTGCATCTGAGTACATTCGACCGATGTGCCTCCAACTGTGCACACACAGGTCAAGGGAAGAGGCTTGAACTGGCATTTTCAGGGGAAGAGGAAAGCCAGCCAGTGTCCAGTTTTGGCATCCTGTCAAAATTAAACAGTATGCTCTTAGAACACAAAGTACTAGGCAGGGTGGTACCACACATGGTACTGCTTTGTGAAAGACTTCAGTGGCTTTTAAGGGTCATGTCGATAACATGCAATTATTGCCTTATATGCAGATTCCAAGTTCAGCCCTCCATTAAGAGTTGATTCTGCCATCCTCCCTGTGGTATGGATGCTACCCAGGGTGTGTGGCATTTTTTCCCGTCTGCTAGGGTTGGCTCTGAATGCTAAGACACAACCTGGGCCCCTCCTCACCAGCTGTCCCCAAGGCAGTATTACCAGAGGCCTGACTGAAGAGGAATTAAGCTGGGGTATGACAGCAAACATGTAAGGTCTCTACCTGCATTTGCTCGTGTGCCCAAATCGTTCAAGGTGCCCCAAGTTGGTAAAACAAACGGACAAAAACTGTCACCTGGATCACATGACTGCCCCTCATTTGTCGAATGAGATTGTCAGACAGTCTGAGATCGTGGAAGTCTGCTTTTAGGATGGGAATACATTCTACTCATGCATGTCAGATCCTTCTTAAAAACACATCTTTGGGGAATCCTGTTAAACTGGAGCATGTGTGACTTACTTATCTTCTGTGTTAATGTGTTTTTCCCATACCAGTTTTACCTGAGTGCAGCAGCATGTTTTGTCAGTGTGGTGTAGATTTCCCTTCTGTTCAGTTTTCTCTCCTACTTGCTATTGTGGAAAAAGAATATTTTGAAGGGTGTCACATCCAGCTGGGACTAAAGTTTGTTCTGGGTGGCATGCTGAGGCAGGGGAAGTCCTTGTGGGTCTCGGTCCGCAGGTGAGGCTGGGATGAAGCGCTCTCCTAGTGCCTCACACCTGACTTTCTCATCTCCCACAGCGTGTGCAGAGGACTTTTTCTATACGTCACAGGGAGGAAACACGTCCATCGAGGGTGTAAACGATGCTGAGGACTTTGAGAAGACTCGCCAAGCCTTCACACTCCTCGGTAAGGAGCTTCTGAACGGAAGGGACATGCTCATGGGGCTGACTTCAGGGAGGGTTGTAAAGCAAGGCCATGTCCACTTTGCTCTGGTGACTACACAAACTGAGGGGAAGCCCTCTCACCCTTGGTGAACGTCTTCTTACTCTTATCCGTTTCAGCCCTCAGACTCCAAATTGGAACTTTGTTGGCTTTTCTTAAAAATAAGGTTTTGAGAGTCTGTCTCCCAGGCACTGGGAAGTATCCCTTTTCACTCACACAGGCCATTGAAACCAATGGAGGAAAACCAAGGATGGCCATGTCTTTTCATGCAGTGGCCTGTTTTTAGCATCATTGTGTTCAAGTAGAAAGAGCACTCAACTGGGACCAAACCGCCCATGGACCACGGAATCAAAGTTGGAAGCAGACTCTGAAAGTCTGGTGGCTCTGTCACACATACAGTGTTAGTTCTGTTAGCTCTGTTCCCGTATAGAGCTTAGCATTGGAATCCTTGAAACAAGAAACTGTCCGTCATGGTCAGAAGGGGTCAGTAGAGCTGGAGGAAATTGCCCTCCCCCCCCACCATCCCCTGCCAATGTTGAGGGAGAAAAGCCCCCAAGTGACCAGGTGGAAGGTAAGCCTTTTTAAATTAGGAAACTGAAGTGTTAAATTCTTGGGACCTACAGCCAGAAAAAGGAAAGCTGGGGAAGTCGGCCTGGAACCCAGGGAGTAGCTCAGGATGGTCCTTGTGTTTTTCCCAGCCCCTCCCCCAACAGACAGAACATTTGGCTTCTGAGCCACGTGACTAATCCAGAGAAGCATATGTTGGGTTCTTTGGTGGGAGTCATGGAAGTTTTATTCAATGTCCTAATAAAACATGGCTGAACAAAGCACAACCTAATCTCTGTATGGGGAAGAAACCGGGCCCTTGTATGGTGAAATCCCAGCGCTGGTCACTTTTCTGGGTAACTGGTGCATACGTGGGGTTCGTCTTTTGTACCCATGAACTATCAGGAGACAGAAACCATAAAACATGGCTGAACAAAGCACAACCTAATCTCTGTATGGGGAAGAAACCGGGCCCTTGTGTGGTGAAATCCCAGCGCTGGTCACTTTTCTGGGTAACTGGTGCATACGTGGGGTTCGTCTTTTGTACCCATGAACTATCAGGAGACAGAAACAGGACACTAGATATTCAAACAGAGAAAAGTTAATATAAACAATTGTTAATTAGAGCAGTAGTAGGCGATTACTAAGAAGGATGAAAGAGGACTTTAAGGAGTCCAGAAGTAGTAGGTACAAAAGAACAGCTGCTATCTCTAGGGTGAGGAAGAACAGCCAGTAAAGGAGTTATTGAGTAGAGAGCCCCCACCCCTGGCTGAGGGTTAGACCACTTCTAGGAGGACGTGGCGTAGAAACTTGCCAGAGGATGTAGGCAGCACTGGTCCCTATGAACAGGCTGCAGTTGCCCCAGGGTGACCTGGTGCCAGAACTGCTCAGGAGCCCCGCTGATGGGGAGATGTGGCCTGAGGGCACAGATGGAGCTTAGCAGGGAGGCTGTTGGGCTCCCCAGATGAATGAGGACTGTGGTGGACCAGAACCAGGAAGTGAAATGTCTCCTGCTGCTATTACCTTGCAGACCACTATAGCGCCCTCTGTGGAGCAATGTTTACAGGGTCCAGCTCCAGTATCGTAAAGCAGGGTAGCGAGGGGAAGAGTCGAAGCTCGGCGGTAATAAGTTGATAACTGGCACTCCTGATTTCCCCAGCATCACGTGCCTGTCCTGTTCCCAAGAGGTGGGGGACAGGTTTGGAGAATACTTCATGTTGAGCAGGATACATTTTGACTAGTTTGTCAGAGAAAGGAGAAGGCTTCTGGCAGGTGCCCTTTTAGTGCTGGTGCAAGCAGTGGGCAGGAGCCTGATTTAGGAGAGGGTTGTTCATCCCAAGGCTCTAAGGAGACTGGATGCTTTAATTCTCAAAGTAGATAGGATTTGTAAAATTAATTATTTTAATAAGACTCTTTTCCCTATTCTTTAATAAACATGTCTTTAAAAAAAAAAAAAAAATAACCCAAAAAACAAGCCAGGGTTGGCAAACTTTTTCCTCCAGGACAAGATAGTAAATATTATGGGTTTCGTGAGCCATACAGTTTCTGTTACAACAACTCAGCTGTGCTGTAGTTTTGAGAAAGTAGCGATTGACAAGATGTAAGCGAGGGGGCATGACTGTGTTCTAATAAAACTTTATTTACTGAAACAGGCTCTGGGCTCTGTTTCCTATGGTGAGGTACTGCTTATTCAGAGACTCCCATGGTAAGAAGGGACTTTCTCGTCAGTGTAATGGAGGGACCTTAACTATTGTTTAATATTCATTCTGTATCACCACTTAAATTCCTACCATGACAGGATGGTTAGGCCTTTGGCAATTGACAAAGCCATTGGTTCCCAAGAATAAGGAAGGAGAGAGAGAAGCTTCTGCTAAGTGGCGTATCCCTCTTGCCCTGTGATGGTCCAGCACCCACTTCCTGAAAAGTACTGCTAATGGGACTGACTTGAGAGCAAGACACTCTAAGCTCGGACCAGACCCTCAGTGCTAACTCCTCGCAGGGGTGCACAGGTGTCTAGCTTCCTGCCTTGTTCTGGATACCAGCCTCTGGCTTCAACCTGTCTTCCTTTCATCAGGCTTATTCAGTTACACTGAACCAGGGCAGATGACTAAATTCTTTGGCCTCTGTATATGTTTGGGGTTATTGGACTATATAAAATTAGATATTCGAGTGATGCATATATTGCTGTAGATATGTGCAAGTACTTGCCGTCTGTGTAAGTCATTCCATCATTCATGTTTCTGAGCACCTGCTATGTGCCAGGCACCATTCTAGGCATTGGGGATACGATGATGAAGCAAGAATAGGGATTCGTTGTATGATTATAACTTTATTATTTTTTTTACTTTGTATGTTTTGAAATTTTACACAATAAAAATTAGAAATTAAACCCCTGCCCCTGTGAAGCTTACATAGTAGTGATCTTATAACATTAAAGCCTAGAGTTAATTCTCTTTAGCTCATGCTTGGGTTGTCTGCATTGTTGATTTCCTGGAGAAATTTCTTAATCCTAGCATGACACATCTGTGCCTCCCGTGTATATAGGTGTTACTGGCTTTTTAAAAAGGTTGAGTAAATCATTGCCTTAACAAGTAACTGCAGCTGGGGAAAAACAGAGGGAGCAACTGTAATTTCTTATTCTGAGTGATAGGTTTACTGGTGTTCATTTTATCATTCTGTAGCCTTTTTAAAAAAAATGTCTGAAGTATTTTGTAATTTAAAAGGAAATAACACCTTCAAGCTAAATATAAATTGTAAGAGGTTACCCATGCCTTTGATAAGTCATGTAGGTAAACAACAAATGTGACAGGAGGTGTTTGCTGCCACAGTGGATCTACGGCAGGTGCATGTGTGACAACGGTGAAGGCACAGACAGGGTGGGCCCAGCAGCCCTGGTCTGGGAGTGGCCAGGAAGCCTGCTGACCAGCCAGCTCCTGCCACAGCAGTCCCAGGAGAAGTTTCTCCTCCTCTTCCCCTGTTGGCGCTGTGGATGTGTGTCACAGATGTTTGTAGGATATTATGTTGGTATTAAAAAAAAAATGACTGCAAATAAATGACCATTCTTATTAAACTCATAAAAATATCCATAAAGGGCTTGGTTGAAATGAAGTTCAAAATGAGTCTGCATGATTGCTGCCTTTCCTTTGCTCTTTGAGAAGTTAAAATGGTAACAGGACCCATCTGGTGGTGTGATCAGGACAATCAGAGTGACGATATTTCCTTTTTAGTCTAGGGAGGCCCTTTGCCCTCTGAGCTGTTACCATGAGTGGTGATTACCTGGTGAGGAGTCTGGCTCATCTTAGGAGTCATTGGCCCAGAAAGGAAAATCCAACCTTACTTTTTTCAAGTCCTTAAAAAGGGTAAAATGTCCTTTCCATCCTCCCATGGCTATCGAGTGTCATTCATTTATTTTCTTTCTTTGCAGGAGTGAGAGAGTCCCATCAGATAAGCATTTTTAAGATAATTGCTTCTATCCTGCACCTTGGAAGTGTGGAGATTCAGGCTGAGCACAATGGTGAATCCTGTAGTGTATCAGTAAGTTGCACAGCTGCACCAGAGATAAAATGGGTGCAGTTTACTCTGTTCTTACGGTTTGATATGACTGAACGGTGTCTCTACACTTGGAGGACGTTCATAGGTTATTCATTCTTAGCAGTAATGATTTCTGTTCTCACTGATAATTTTTCAAAAGAACCAATCCTTTTCAAATCAGCTGCCCTCAAACTTCTGTTGCCAAGGGCAGGGAATTTAGTGGCTGTTCAATAAATTCTTTTTGATGGGTTGATTTTCCAAGTACCCTGAGGTACATGGAATTCTATAACGTGTTATCAATCCACTGAGTGCTTTCTGAGCTCCATACTGAAGCCCTTGCTGCAAGGAGATGAAAGACCATCGGGCACTGTACTTGGTGACTGCCTCACAGGAGCTTACAGTTTAATTGCGTGGACAGGACAGGTAACAATTGCCAAGACTCTGACAGTGCAAGGCAGTATATTAAGGGATACATTTATGTGAAAGTACTACAAACAGTAAAGGGCTCCATAAATGCTCATAATGGAGGGTATTTTCCTCGTGCCCAGCGTAGTAGCTGATATATGATAGACGGAAAATGTCTGAGTGGGTGGATGGATGGTGGAGCAAATACCAGTGTAGTAGTACAGATGGCAATTGCTGAGCACTCTCTGGAATTTAATGGTGTTGGGCTAGGCTAAAACTGGTATTCTGACCTTGAATAGGTGAATCTGCAACTGTTTATTATATACCTTTTTTGTGCCTATTTATGATTAAGTCCTGGAGAGGTACAGGGTGTGATTCCTGTTTCCATAGACTTGGAATTTAGATAACCAGATGCTGGGAAAAGACAAAAGATAACACTACAAAATATGAATATGGGCATGTGTCTGTGCCTCTCACAAGCTGATGCTTAATTTAAAATTGAGTGGGCCTTTATTAACCTCCTCCTGTTTGTCTAAGGTTAGGAGTTATTAGAAGTTCAAACTGGCCCTACCTTTAGAGAGGGAAGGTAGCTGGGATCCCTTCCTTCCCCAACATGTTTTCCCTAAATGAGCGATAGATCTTGGGTAGAGGCCCCTGGGCCTGCCACCATCCTCAGCATGGCATCTGCAGCCTCATAAGAGCTTCGAAGCTCACCCACCTGGGCCCCGTGGGAAAGGAGGGAGTGTTGAAGCTGGCAGTGTTAGGTGCTCCTGGAGCAGTTTCTGACATCTGATGTTTATATGCATGTGTGCCCTGGAAGCAAAGCCTGGCAGTGGTGCTGCTGTGAGAGGGACCCAGGTGTGTAGAAGAGGATCTGTGCCATGTGGGGCGAGGGATGGGCCTCCAGTGCAGGCCAAGCCTTCCCCTGATCTGAGTCTTCAGGGCCAGTGATCTGTTGCCTCTGATGTCCTTCCTCTAATGAGGAAGGGATAGAGAGTCCATGCCTCCCCCAACGTTCACACGCCAGTGTCCCAGGGTTCTGTAGGGCAGCAGTACTCTGCCAGGGGCCAGGGACTGGTGAGATTAGGAATATTTGTACTGACAAACTGCTGGTTTAGGCTGCTAAGATGCAGGAGAGATGACAAGTGTTCCCCTGGCCTCCCCCGGTGCCCCCTCTTTAGGTTACATCCTGGTCGCACACCTGGCTTGGATTCTTACGGCAGCCTGTACCTCTCCTTCGTGGCGCTTCGCATCTTCGTTTGCACTCATCGTGTGGCTATTTGCTGCCTGTCTCCTCCTCTTTGAGACTGCAGACTCTGTCAGGGCAGGGACCATTTTTGTTCATGACTGTGTCACAGCCTCCAGCACCCTGTCCAGCACTCGGCAGGCACCCAGCATGAGCATGATGGAGGATGTGAGGCTCTGCAGGACTAGGGGCTGATGCAGACGAGAGCAGGAGAGGCTGAGCAAGTCTGAGATCTGGGTGGGTTGATGGGGAGCAGAGGGCTAGGGGCCAGGAGTAGCACCTGCTTGGGGTGGGCTGGCACCAGGCCTCTCTCAAGGCTGTGAGTGAAGTGTCTGATCTCACAGCTGATCCCCACAGCCAGCCTGTGAGGTGGGAAGGAAGAGTGTTTACTGGTGATTATTTCATCAGTGCCTGTTCCGCGACTAGACTCCAGGGCTGCATCTGCTATGCTTGGTCTTCTACACTGAGGCACGTTGGCCCCTGCTGAGTGTTTGTGGACACTGGGCGCTCCAGGGCCCACTTGGCACACAGGTAGTGAAGGGAGGGGGAGAAAGGTGGAGGCCAAGAGGGGGTTGGGATCCCACAGGGTACAGTGGCCTTTCTTGCAGATGGCTTTTGAATGCAGGTACATGGTCTAGGCTAGTCTGGTCTTGTTCTGTAATTAGAGGCTGGGTAGAGAACTAGTGGAGAGCAAGAACTCTGGGTTCAGATCCTGGTTCTGCCATTTACAGGATGTGTGATTTAGGGCAAGTACCTGACTTTTCTGGGTCTGTCTCCTCCTCTGTGGAGCATGGGTGATGTCTACCTACCTCTGTGTTGGCATGAGGATTAAACAGAATCCTGCATGGGAAGGCCTGAGCACAGAGCTCATGGTGATTGAGTTCTTGACTGTTACCAGCCTTGTTGTGAGAGCCATAGTGGGCCTTAAGAGTGTCCCTCTTGCTGTACAGGGGAGGAAAATATAAGGCCCAGAGAGAGGAACCTCTTTCTCTAAGGTCAGAATGACAATTAATGGCGAAGGCGGGGCAGGACCCAGTTGGTGGTCCTTCCCCTACGCCGCTGCCAGCTTAGCTTCTTCGACTGGACTGTAAGTCCTTGGAGCTGGGGCTGTCCTCCACTTGCCTGGTGGCCTCCCGTTGGTGCCTGGCATGGTGCTGGGCACAGAGTACATGCTTGAGAAATGCATCTCTAAGTAGTTGCCCCCAAAAGTCCCTTTCTCAAACGGATTTTGGTTTATTCCTTGGGTACATAGCGTGGGCCTCCTATTGGAAAGGCTGTCTATCCATAAGTAGTGTACCTTCTGCTCAGTAGTTTGTATTTTTAATTAAAGCATGAGAACGTGTTCCGAGTCCTTGGAGCTGGGGCTGTCCTCCACTTGCCTGGTGGCCTCCCGTTGGTGCCTGGCATGGAGCTGGGCACAGAGTACATGCTTGAGAAATGCATCTCTAAGTAGTTGCCCCCAAAAGTCCCTCTCTCAAACGGATTTTGGTTTATTCCTTGGGTACATAGCGTGGGCCTCCTATTGGAAAGGCTGTCTATCCATAAGTAGTGTACCTTCTGCTCGGTAGTTTGTATTTTTAATTAAAGCATGAGAACGTGTTCCATGATTGCCAGAGTTACCTTAGAGATGCAGCAGCATCCAATTACTTGGACACCACAATCAATTTGTTTCTTGAATTTGGCAATATGGGCCCACAAAACTAATCTGCTACCTATGGTGTTGGCTGTTTTCAATGGATTTAGTATCATTTAATTATGCCTACATGTAATAGCATGATGCTAAATTAGTTATCATCTTCAATTGACAGGAGGGGGTGAGACGGAACAGGCCATGCCCCACCGCAGTGGATGGAAACCTGTCCCCAGGGCGTTAGCCCACAGTTCCTAACTTTTGGTCCTTTCTCCACTGTGCTCACAGTGTGAGACACCATGGAGGGGAGGGTGCCCGTGGGCAGCTCTGGTGTGGTCATGTTTGCTGCTGTCAGGGTATCCATCTGCACTGCTGTGCCTAGCAATTAAGAATTTTTTGGAAATAGGTTGGATGAGCAAATTGGACACTTGCCACCTCTGAACTTGTTGTCTGCCAAGCAGTCCCTGGGCACTTATCCCTGCCACATACAGCTTCATGTGGGGGGGAGGGGAGGAGAGATGGGGGTGGTTGCAGAGTAGAAGGCTGCTGACCAGAAGTGGCCATGGAAACCCTCACTGCTAAGTGAGCGTGCAAAGACGGGGCCTCTCCACACCCACACAAACTCAGCCCAAACCCAGCTGAGTCTCCTGCCAGTCTGGGCTTAGGAGCTCTGGGCACAGGTCAGGGAGTCTCACTTAGCCTGGATGTCCTCATCGGAATCATAATGGGGGGTGGGTTAGGATGGTAGTTCTGAAGGTTTGCAGGGAATCCCCTTAACCCCTAGCCAGTTTCTTAGGAACAGAGGAGTTCTTTGGTCAGATAATTTCAGGAAATGCTCCTTGAAATATCTATCTCTGGGTGCTTACAAGGTATGTTAACAAACCAGCCTAACTGTGTTTAATCTGGTGCCATCCTCCCTCCCCTTTTGTTAAGTAAAGACAATTAATGTTCTTTGCAATTACTGTTCCACAAACCATACTTTGGAAAAACATTGGCTTTAATGATTTGGGGAGGCTTTTTCCTACTCTGACATTCTATTATTTTATAATTGTGTTTGTTCGGGGGTAGATGGATTTTAAATATCTGTAGGAGAAAAAAAGGCCTACCGATATGGTGTTAAGGGGGAAATGATACAGTTATCTGTGTTAATTTTCACTGAACAAGCCTTCATTTAAATCTTACAAGGTACCCTCATCAGAAAATGAGTCCCACAAACAATTTAGAGCCATTAAGAGGTGACACATCATGTTCTAAAGGATTCCCTTCCAGCCTTAGAGTTCATAAGCTCTCCAGCAGGCTCAAGACTGGAGATATTCAGTTCTTCCTGATGAATTTCTAAATTCCCTCTAGGAGGGAATGAATGATGGGTGAGAGGAACCTCTGTGGATGAGCAGGTTTTCTGTGGGGTGCCCTGAATGGGCATCATGGATTATCCAGGAGAATTCTACATTTTGGTGGAATAACATAAGACCCTGTGGGAAATTTGGTTATCCAGTGGCCCAAAGGCCAGGTGCTGTGTGATAAGTATTTTAGGTAAAAGAGGGTCAAGGCTCAAAATGTAGCTCATAGAGATAGCTGGATGGGTGGGTAGGAAGTAGGTACATTGGGTTGAAGGGGGCTGGTAGGAGCCCTGAGCCCAGGGGGCCTGGGTGAATTGTTGCGCTTCTTTGGGGACTTAACTGCTTACTCGTATGGAAGCAGCTTAAACTGGAGGAATCCAGTTTCTTTTCAGCCACAAACATGTGTGATGTTATCAGTGAAAGTGTTCCAAATGATCTTCTCAAGTCAAAATTTGTTCCATTATTTTTGCCATGTTTCCTAGCTTTCCACACTGATTAACTTTTTTCCCAAGCAGTAAGTGCTCGCAGTATGTAAAACAAAGTTTAGTTACGTGTTTTTTAGTGTCACTGACGCTAAGATGAAAGAGAGCCTGCTTGGGAGCATAGACCAGGCAGTGTCAGTGCTGGGAGGCACATCGTCCTGTTCCTCACCCCAGCACTTATGAATACATCCATTGGCTTCAGGTATAATTTGAAAAACTCCTCTCCTCTCAAGGTGATTCTCATGTATCCCACCCACCCAGAAGAGAATCGCTGACCTGGTCTATCCACGTAACTTTACAGAAGAGGAAACTGAAGCCTGGGGAGAGAAGTGGCTGAGTGCCACCTCCCCCTTCGGAGCCCATGGTTCATGTCAGAGTGCACAGCAAGTTAGACGGGGGCTGGTCAGAGGTGACACTTTTAAGAGAAGAATTCTAAGCAGTGAAGAGACCTGCTCCCGGGTTGTGGGTAAAGCACTGTGTGTGGACCTCTGCAGATGCAGGCTGTCTGTTCAGTGTGACTGTGCTGCCTGCTGCGCCTCACTCTGAGTGGATTATCTCTTTCTGAGATATCAGTTCTCATTCTGCTCCCTTCACTTTGGGACTCCCCTCCTACCAGTTACTCAGCAGCAGCCTGGCGATAAGATGCAGGCTGTCTGTTCAGTGTGACTGTGCTGCCTGCTGCGCCTCACTCTGAGTGGATTACCTCTTTCTGAGATATCAGTTCTCATTCTGCTCCCTTCACTTTGGGACTCCCCTCCTACCAGTTACTCAGCAGCAGCCTGGCGATACAGGAGGGGACGGGGGAAGTGGAGAGGGAGCTTTGTTTATGAAAGCCCTGATAATTCGGTCATTGGCAGGTGTGGTGATGAGTTTGAGCAACACTGGGCTCTCGTTGTCCTCTCCACTTAGCAGTGTGAGAGTGCGCGGGGCTGCTGGGGCTGCTGGGGCTGCTGGGGCAGCAGCCGGCATGACGGGGGATTCTGGAGTGCTGGGAGGTCTTGGGTTTGGCGTGTTTTCCCTCTGGGCAGGAGGGGAGAGGACGCAGCGTGTGGGTTGTCCTCTGGGCCCCTTCTGAGCCCATCTTCCCCTGTCTTCCCCAGCCCCAGGATGAACACCTCAACAACTTCTGCCGACTGCTAGGTGTGGAACACAGTCAGATGGAGCACTGGCTGTGCCATCGCAAGCTCATCACCACCTCGGAGACCTATGTCAAGACCATGTCCCTGCAGCAGGTGGTCAACGCACGCAATGCCCTGGCCAAGCACATCTACGCCCAGCTCTTCAGCTGGATTGTGGAGCACATCAACAAAGCCCTGCACACCTCCCTCAAGCAGCACTCCTTCATCGGGGTCCTGGACATCTACGGGTAGGCCTGCCCCTGTCCTCCAACTTTTCATGCCACCCCCTGATCATTAGTGTCTTCCCAAGGGCATTTAAGAGCCAACAAGGGCCTTGGCAGTCTTCCTGCTGGTTCTCAACCAGGAGAATTTAAAATTGGGGCTGAGGGGGCACGTTTTTGGTTGTCACAATGACTGGAGTCACTACTGGCCTGAGGCTAGGGATGCTAAGTGTCCTACAATATATAGGACAGTTGTAAGGAATAATGGACCTTGTCAAACACCAGGCTCACAGAGGGAACAAGGCAGCCAAGGCCCAGAGGAAAGTGACTTGCCCAACGTCATTCTGGAAGTTACTGTGAGGATAGAACTTAGATGCAGGTTTTGTGTCTTTTATGTTTTATTTCAGTCTACCATTCAACCTCATTGCCTGTATCATTAGTCAAGGTGATTATTTTAATACCATGACTTTGCCCAGTACTGTACAGATTTGTGAAATTTTCTTTTTCAAAATTCTAACTTAATTGAAAGGACTGTTACTTCTAAGAGCATATTTTCTGCCGGGATAGGCAGCGTGGCATGGCGGGAAGTGCATGTGACTGGTCATTGGGGGCTACCATTTGTACCAGTGCTGCCACCAGCCAGCTGAACGACTCCCTGCAGGTCACAGCCCCTTTCTGGTCTTCAGTTTCTGTAGCTTCAAATGAAGTTTTGAGCCCCAGTCTCTCTGAGATTCTTTCCAGATCCTTCTAGAATTGTTTGAAGTTATATGAACTGGATTGCAACCTCCCTTGCACTTTTCTGACCAATGTCCTACACTCAGTAAGCTAATAATAGAGTAAATTCTTCTAGATCTTTAAATCACAGAAGTCACGGCTTCTGTCCCAAAATAGAAATTCAGACCCACAGAAGGGCAGTGTAAGAACAGCATCGCTCTGCTGAACACAACTGCTTAGTGGGCTGAGACCCAGCTGGGACTTGCCTTATGATGAGGGTGGAGTAAAGGAGAACTCCCCATGCAGACACGGGCCCCAAGTTACAGCTTGGTGGTGTTGCTCATCACTGCCTTTCACACTGAACCGTGCTGCATGCTGTGCAGGAAGAAGAATGAAACTTGGTTTCTGGCATCACAAAGGCCTCAGGAACGTGCTAAAGAGTTTAGTTGCATGCACAAGTTAAGTAACACAGGAGGCATCAGAAGAAATTATAGAAGGGCCCATTTGAGGGTTCAGACAAGTTGTGCTGTGCAAGTTTCAGGGTTGGGGAGACATACTTGTTTGCACAGTCAGAGAAAGCTGTACTGGGGAGGTGAAATCTGAACTGGATTGTTTAAAGAGAGGGAGTAGAGTATGGGAAGTGGGGGAAGCACCTTTGGGAATGGGAGCATGATCAAGATGGGAGGAAAAAGCAGAGTGAAAGACAACCGCATCCTGGATGAGGAGCAGATGGTGGGGAGCCTCCCTGGAGAGGAGTGGGAGGGTATGTCGTCTCTGGGGCTCTTCAGGGTGTCAGCTGAGTGGCCAGGGCTGGCTACTCCTCCTTCTGGTCAGCCAGTGGCTGCTCCATGTTCAGCTCCTCTAGATGCTCTTGGGAGAGCATAGAACAGTCTGTATTCTCTGGGAACTTACTGCTTCATCATTAATTAATTCTGTGTTATTCTTCTCTCTACCTCAAGTGTTTTCAGGTAATTGGATTTCCCAAAATACTGACCATTAGGGGGTTACCTTCTGAAGTAAGAACTGGAGAAACCCAGGCTGCAGCAACTGACCCAATTCCCTTAATTGACCTGTACAAGAATCTAATTTTACTAAGGTTTTGATTTAGGAAGGTTAACATGCAGACTCATTATTGACAACAGCATGTAAAAATATTATGACTTCAGTACTACTGATATGTAAAATATCGTGCTTGAGTTCTGTTGTATTCATGTATTTTCTTAACAGTGCTTTGAATTTAAATAGACTGGTTCCTCCCTTCCCAGGGATCACCAGTGGAAGGTCTCTGCTTATTGATGGGAGGCCTCTGTGAGTTGGGCTCCTGGTGTTGCTGAGTCTGCAGATGTCAGCTAGGTTTCTACTGGAATTTTGTGCTTGTATTTGCTATTTAATTTTTGTAACTGAGCTTGTTTTCTCTAAGGTCCTGTGACTGCTCAAGGGGGAGAAATAGATTGCAGGGAAGCCTTGTCTTTGGTTTGAAAGGAACAGTTACCCATGGGTGGTGTGGCAATGTAGAAGACCCAGTCTCCTGTTTCCAGTGCCAACTTCTAACCTGTGTGTCTCCCTCATCTCAAAGTGGCACATGGGTGCCTTTGAAAACGTCTGACAGCTGCACAGTGAGAGCAGGGTTCCAGCACAGGGCCATGCAACACAGGCCCACGCAGCATGGGGCCACTTACAAGCCCTGGGGAGTTCTCCTACCCCTTGTGCTTCTTTCCAGGCATGCTGTGCTCTTTTCTTTTCTCTTAATCCTTGTTCTTTCTCAGAAGTTAATTTACTTTATTTCAAACTGTGTCATAAAACAGTCATATTTAAAAAGTGATTTAGTGTCCACCTGGAGAGAAATAAATGCCTAATCACAGTTACTCCTCTGTATCTGTGTTTAGTGCCATGTACACACCCTGAAGGCAGAGTTAAAGATAGCAAGTTAGATGCAAGGTAGATTCAGAATTAACAAGCTAGCTAGCTGTCTACCTGGGCTATTTGTTGCTAAGAAAGCACTTACAAACATTCCCTAAATGTGTACAGGTTGAGTACCCCTTATCTGAAATGCTTGAGACCAGGAGTGCTTTGGATTTTTCCAGATTTTGGAATGTTTGCATAACACTTACCAACTAAACATCCTTAATCCTGAATATGAAATGCATTTCCTTTCAGTGTGACCTTTGAGTGTTATGTTGGTGCTTAAAAAGTTTTGGATTTTAGAGCATTTCAGATCTTTGGATTAGGGATGCTCAACCTGTATATGCATGCTCCTCAACAATCTGCTCTGCCAAGAAATCATTGTATAAATGTGGACTGGTCGGGACTCTTTTCTGGTCAGAAGATATGCAGTGAACTCAGATTAAAATCAACAGTTTAACCACAGGAGAGCAGGTGGCTTGAGTCTGGAGGTACTGTTTCTAATCTATCAGGTTACTGACATCATTTCTTAATCTGGGAGAAAACCTGATAATGTGTGAGCCATTTACTGTCGTCTCCCCTTCTCCACTCTCCATTATCTCGCTTGTTCTTCAAGCCCAAGTTGGGGGGTGGGGAGTACCTTGCTACCCCTAGAGGAGTCCTTGGGCTGACCTGATGTGTGATTCTCTTACTTTTCCATGTCCTTGTGAGCAAAGGAGCAGCAAGTGTGGGAGTGGAGAGAATTGGAAGAATGATGGACAGTGTGTTTAAACACAGTCAACCCCATTCATTAAGAGGGAAGCAAGGAGGACTTGTCTCCCTGTCAGGTTAGAAATGCACAAAGCTAGGAAACGAGAGTGGATTGCTCTTCTTCCCCTCACCCCCCTCCCACACACACACTGGGCACTGATTTCTTCTCTTCCCCTCACCCCCCTCCCACACACACACTGGGCACTGATTTCTTCCACTGGGACAACTGTCCCCAGACGAACTGCAGCACCTGTCTAGGGCATTATTGGCCCACCAATCAAGCTCATTCCAGAGACAGAGCTGAAAAAAGTCCTGTACTGCCAATGAGCCCCTCTGTGTTTTTCTACAAATGTTTTAAGTCCACTGGGACAACTGTCCCCAGACGAACTGCAGCACCTGTCTAGGGCATTATTGGCCCACCAGTCAAGCTCATCCCAGAGACAGAGCTGAAAAAGTCCTGTACTGCCAATGAGCCCCTCTGTGTTTTTCTACAAATGTTTTAAGCGTTACTACAGAATAAGCACCCAGAATGAATAAACACTCACTTCTGTGTTTATGTAAGCAGGCAGTACCCGAGCTGACATCATACACACACACCTCTGCTTATCCTGATATTCTGATTGCTAGGTACCTCATGGAGCCAAAGAGGCTGTGAACTCCTAAACAGATTAGCATGGGCCACAGCTGCCTTCCTCACGACCATGGTGAGACCCTTCCCTCAGCCTCTCTGAATGGCACCAGTCACTATATCCTGATGTAAAGGTAGCTGCCCTGTCCCAACTCCACAAAAGTACAAAGCAAGCGATACCCAGAGCTATGTAGCCAACCCAAGCCAAGTGCTTCTCCTTAACTAAGGGTCTGTGAAGTTGCCTTTGGGATATTTCTTACCAGGCAGGGGATGGAAATTAATAGGGGAGAGCCTAACAGCTTTGGGCTGGGGTTTCCTTTTCATGTTACATTAACCAGCGTTGGCCCCTACAGGCTTGATTAATTACAATCTTTATCCTTTATCCCTCTCCCCTCCTTGAAGCAACAAAAAATAAATGGCTTGAATTTGGGAAAAATACACATTCATTTATCTTTGACATCAGCCTTGAAAATGCCAAGGTAGCAGGGAGCTTTGGCGGTGGCCAGCCTATTCTTGCTGAGGACCAGTTGGCCAGGGAGGGTTTTGGAGCAAGGCTGGGTTACGCTGAGGAACAGTGGGGGAGAGAATGGAGGCAGGAGGTAGGGAAGTTTTGACCCCAGGAAGCAGGAAATGGGATTTGCTGGAATTTTATGTTCTTCTCAGTCCTCCATGTTACTTTCTTGTGTTACTTCCTAATGCTAAATTAGCATCCAGCTCTATTCAGTGCTAGTGCTCTTTAAGATGCTGTTTTTAAAAATACTTAATTTTTTTAATTGTGAAAAACAAAATTTACCATCTTAATCATTTTTGAGTGCACGGTTCAGTACTGTTAAATATGAGGGTACTTAGAAAAAAGCTCGTGGAAAAATAGAATTAAAGGATAATACACATCCTTCCATGAGTTTTTTTTTTTTTTTGTCTTTTTCCGTGTCCGGCAACGGATCGCAACCCTCAGTGTTGCCCCCGTACCGGACCGGGGACCGGCAACGGGATTGCAACCCTCGGTGTTACCCCCACGCCTTGCTCAGCCAGTGAGC